AAAAGGGCACACCTCTGGCCTGGACAAGGCACCCCCCCCCCATGAGAAACAGGGGGGCCGTCTGCGTTTCTGCTTCTCTCGTATGGGGTTTCCTTTGCAGGGGAATAAAACAGCAATTCCGTGCTAGCAAAGTGCCCGAAGCCACATTCAAGAGCTTGGATTCCTGTCAATTGCACAATTTGTGCGTGGAAGGAAAATGATGTGGGCAGGAGGAAATCAGAGCCAGGCCTTCTGAAAACAAAAGCAGTTGTGAAAAAAAGAGGGAAGGGGAAGACCGAGAAGGGTTAGAACCGAGCACTGGGAAAATCCGAGCACCTCGACTCGCCAGTCTGGCCCAGCTGATTTGGTTTTGGAAGCCGACCTACCCTGGGCCCCTTCTTAGTCCCTGTAAAACTCAGTTGCAAGTTTTCACCGTTTTGAGGCAGGAAATGCAAGAAAACTGGCATACCCCATCAAAGCAGTCTTAATATAATTTGAACACACAGAAAGCTTTGGGGCCTCATCCACCAGTAATGCAGGGAAATGGATCTGAAGGCCTTTCCCCCAGCTCTGGGTCCAGGAAGACCCGGACCCAGCTCTCCAGCATAGATAAAACTGGGATGAACTCCTCAGAGGAAGGAGATACATAAAATTTTAAAAAGAGCAACCCCTGTTCCAGGCTGACTGGTTGCCTGGAGGATTGCCATAGGGGAGCAGGCATTTACAAGCACGAAACGCACACTGGCCGTGTTTCCGAAGCGGTACACGCTGGCCATTACTGTACCATCTGTGGAAGGACTGTGGGTGTTTGCTTGCACCCCCAAGGTCTGAATGTCTGTAACGGGGTGGCTCCAGATTATATTTACAGTCCCACACGTTTTACTTGAGAATGAAGTCCTCTTAACCCAGCACCAGATTTGCACTGTTTAACACCAGTTAAAACTTCACTCACGCCAGCTGCGGGCAGGCAACTCCAAAAGCCCCACGCCCTTCCTTTTCAGGGTTCTTGGCCTATACACCAGGCTGAAAGGTGCCTTCTACAAAAACGCCACTGGGATTTTTCCACCAACAAAACCATTCCTACAAGGTCTGAGGCTAGAAAAAGCAGGAATGATCTTTCAGCCTAGTGGCAGATTGATCCCCCCTCAGGAGATCCCTCAGGGGATCATGTTTCCAGTCTTCCTCAGTGTGGAAATCTGCCCGAAAATTTAAGAGCTTGGCTGTCATAGAGTTTCTCCAGATAACTGCAGATCAGATTTCCTACCTGTTCCCTCCTCCAGACAGCTCTCAGCACCCACACCGGCATGCTTACGGTGAACAGAAAGATCTCTGAAGGGTGTTCTGTGCAACAATCAGACATGGATCTGATAGCTGATCCGTAGGAGCTCCTGGGTGCCACCCTATATGCTCCTTCAAGAACAAGATCCAGAAAATAATGGGGCTGCCAGCGGTTAAGATGCTGCAGTTAAACAAATTCCAGACGGGATACTGTAAGCATTCTGGGGTCCAATGACTCAGGAGCACGGATTATTTTGAACGAGTTGTTCAAGAAAAAACATACTAGTGATTCTGACCGACCTAAAGAGCTGTATCGGACACCAAAGTATTTTCCTTTTGAGACAGTGCCTGGGAAATAAATCAGCACAACTCTAATTAAACTGCCAGACCTGACCAGGGACGTAGCAACGTTGCAGGACAACACACTTCCGGAAGAGGAAACCCAAAATCTATAAAATTACTTCAACGCACATATTCTGCAGGCACACACAGTCATAACAGCAGGACCGGTTTTTAGAGAGGCAAAACTCCACCTTTGTTTGCATCAGCATGACGCGGGCTTAGGCCTAATCGACATACATTTCCATAAAATGAGTGGGCCAAGGATAAACTGGAGCTAAGCTGACTGGTATTAAAGCAGTGTCTTTTAGAAAGCGCCTCGCAACATCTGGAGTGGGACACAAGGAGGCCCCGGCTGAACCTCACAGCTTAGCAACACCCAGAGCGCCGCAGAAGGCCCCCTTCCTCTGGGGAAAGCCTTAGACTAATCCTAGCGCGATCTGGGTGCAAACTCTCCATTCATGCACCCCGGCCACTGTACCCTCTCGCGCAGGGAGTCCACTGCACGGCTGCCGCGAGGGTCAGAAGGAAAGGCGGATGGCCGGACTGGCCTCCTGTCTTCCAAGCTTTTAAGCTCCCTCCTAAGGCAACCGTGGACCCTAACCCAGCTGAAGGCCAAAACACAGAACACGGGCATCGCCGTGTGCCCAAAACAGACCAGCGGCCACGATGCCCATGAGGAGCACAGGAATAATGATTTGGCCAAGCGGACGGCTTTTCATCGGGCACCCAAAGGCATCCGGATCAGGCCCCGCCGGAGCTGAGGGCCAGGCAGACCACGAGCCACGGACGCAAGAGGAAATGACACACCTCTGCCGAGTTGTACCAAGACAGGCTTACTGCAAGATGTCGCAAGGAAGGGACGAAAGGCTTTGTCATTCGCTCTGACTAGATTTTGCGGAAAAGCCCCGCTGTCCTGCCCACCCCCACCACTTTCCTCCAAAGGAAATCATTTTTCAAAACTATTTCCGATGAATAAAAAAAGAATGAGATGCCCGGGGGAACAGCTGGCCTGTGGGTGAAGCCGCTTTTTCCTGGCCCTGCTTCTCTCCGTCCATCCCCAGCCGGTCTGCGAGTCACCCAGACTCTCCAACGCCTCGGAAGGATGAAAGCGGGCTGGGTAACGATCCGGTTAGCACACAGGGACGCGCACGTCGCCCTCGTTGGCCATTCTGGGAAAGAAGGCACCTCTCCAGGAAATTCAAGGCAGTGGTGACAGCGCCCACCGGCCAAACCGCAGACCCTCTGAATCACACCTTTTCCCTTTCGAATCTGGATTGTGCAGGCCTCCCATGAAATCAGCTCACGAGTACTAGAAGGAGAAATTCCCCAACACCCGTGGAAACAGAGAGTCTCCTTGCTGGGAAGAAAATGATTCTGCAGAGTCTCAGCTGAAACATTCTGTCTATTTGGGGGTCCCTTTGCTCAGTATGGCACAAAGGAAACCGCTCTCCGCCCCATACATTGTTTCCTGCAAAGGTCATTCAATGGCAAAGAATGCGTGGGCCCAGATTATCCTGGTGCGAATAACCGTCTCCCGGATAAGTCGTATGATGCATTCAAAAGCTCTTTTGCAGAACATTGGACGTGCGCTAAAGAGGGACTGACTTTTCAACCACCTGCTTTTAAACCAATATATAGAGCAATCAGCAAGATAATCACACACAGAACCCTTTGATTCTGAAGGAGAATAAAGCAGAATGGAAGAGTGGGGAAATCAGTATCCAATCGTTTTTTGGCTTTATCATTCGGAAGAAATATTCTAACATGGGACACAATTGCAGCCCTCTCTATTCCTCTGAGTTTTGCCTATATTTTTAGAGATCGGAGAGACCAGGTTAAATAGATCATCATGGAGAAAATCTATCTACGTGCTTGCTAGGAGTCAAAAACGACTTCGTAGCACATAATCAATCGATCAATCACCTATTTTGAGTCCATCTACTGAAATAGATAGGATGAGTTCAATTGAGTTTGATGGAATGCAACTCTGAATGTCAGGAGCCAACTAGACACATTAAATCTTCCCGTCTCCTCCACATTTTCTTTGCTTGCAATTCGGAAGAGCCTTTCTGTCTTGGATCACAAGTCCTAGAACTCCTCAATGTTACAGGAAACCCTGGACAGCTTTGAAATTCTGGGATCTGTAGTCCCAATCTGTAACGAGGGTGCAGTGTTGGGCGAAGGCTGCTTCACCCCACTTTCAAAAAAGGCCACCAGTTATTGCCTTTTATTTCTGGTCCTTGGAGACTGCAGCGTGAAATCCCCATGGAGCTTCTGGACAAGCTCACCTTATCCTGACAGTCCTGTGTTATTATTATAATTATTATTTTGTAAATGCTGTATTCCCATCAAAGCTGCCACACAACCCTCATTAGGCTGCACAGAAATAAAAATGAGAAAGGGTGTCAATTGTCCAGGGTTGCTGAACTCACCTTCTGTTATTCAGGAAAGGGGAAAAAAAAGATACTAAAACAGAACAAACGGTACAGGAGGGGGAGAAAAGGAAGAAAAAGATTTTAGTGATAAAAAAAAGCTGAGGCCCACGAGCTCAGGGCGCCTTAGTGAGATCAGCCATGCAAGAAAATTAAGGTCACCTTCTCGATTGCCTAAAATACATAATTTTAGGCAATAAGATAGAATATAACACCAAACAAATTGGACAGATTTGCCAACTTACAGATGTGCAGGCCCAGGGGAAAAAAGTCAGAAAAACAGCATTTTCTGCTGGTTTATAGCGTGAGTCATTATATGTACCTAATCACTGTGGTTTATTCCCTAAACCACAGTTCAGCAGACCATGGCATGGGCTAAATTCATACACTGTCCTATAAACAGTCATGAGCTGGCTTCCTAGAACGCACTAAGTCATAATGTGGTCGGTTTGAATTTAAGGCACTTGTACAAAGCCACCTGTGGTTTATCCAATCAATTATAGTTAAACAAATTATTTCTTAGATTGGCATCTAAACCAGTCCTGCATGTGAAAAATCAGATGAGTTTTGCCCCAAGTCTGAGTTACTATCCTTCTGGGTTCAGAAAGGAACATTTCTCTGCATCTAACTGCAGCACGTAGCCAGTCTCACTTGCTTGAGTCATCTAAGCTTCTTCCTTTGAAGACGGGTTTTGATGGGACCCTTTGCCCCAGCCAGATGGCCAGGCTGCATCTGGATAGGCTACCCTAAGCGTAAGTACTGAGTTAGTACTGATAAACCATGATTCCTTGCTTTTCATTACAGTCTCCCCCAAAACACTTGTTTTTGAACACAGAGTTGAGCTAAGCTTCCTTTCAGATGTTTGCAAGGGAGTGGCTGAAATGTGTTATTCTTACTAACTGGATCTGTAAATCTACCTTTCCAGCAAGACGCATGCACCGACACGCACGCACCTAACACACGCTAACAACAAAATTCACACTTGCGAACCAACAAACCAAAACACAACTAAAAGTGAATATTAGGAAAAAGAAAGAGGCTGGTGCTGGGCTAGTTCAAAACGATTCCCGACTTCCCATTTTTCTTTCTGACTTCCTTTTTGTCAAAAGGTCAGCAGCTGTGACAACATCAAAACTGTGTTTTTTTTAATCGCGCAGGGAAGGAGAGGCGAGCCCTGGCAGGGTCTGGTTAAAGTCCAACCTCGGAGAGCAAACGGGTTTTTCCACTCGGAGGCCAGCGCTCCTGCTTCAGAGGGGGACCCTGCGAGGCGGCGGCCCCCGCGT